GTTCCCTCCTCTTATACCTGCTTAGACTCAGATCTGAAATTTCAGCATAATATTTGCTTGTTCCTCATTCTCAGACCCAACCTTCATATTCTGTGGTCCTTTTTTGTAAAAGGTTCTCAGGCATTTGACAGTATAGCCTTGCATGCTATAGAATGACAATAGTGTGTATATCATTAGGTTGCAATAAATAGACACTGTGTTTTATCTGTTTTATCAGCTTTTTTCTGTTATTATATGCATATATACAATCACAAAGAAGTATGATTTTGCAAAGTGACAGGGGGATGAGGTAATATCTAGTTCCACTGAAATTAACAGGAACTATATATTTAAATACCTCGGTTACCTGGAAGATGCAAGTCTTGCGATGCAAGTCTTGCTTCTCTAATGACAATAAAAGTTGAATCTCTACAGAGAATGAACGAATTAGACAAGTCACAAAAAGAAACAGAAGGCTGGGTACGATTTTCTTTATAAGGTTATCCCAAATAGGGAGAGGCACTATCACTGTGGAAATACTAAGTACTAAATCTTTCTATCACTTATCACTCTAGTTTTCAGTACAGAATTCCGACTGGTGACCACGTCTGAATTACAGAAGACTGAGACAGACTAACCCTGTAGAAGCCTGTGCTTACAGCCTGCCGTTACGTACCACAGCTGGGTTTAGCCAGCTACTTGCACTCTTCACACACCTTAGGCGCCTTACGTCTGAAACCCTTTGTTAAGCTATTCATGCTTTTAACTTCGGGTTTTTTTCTCTTCCAGCTTACTATATCCAAATTGTTCTTTCTGCTCTTATCTACCCAACCTCTGATGTCTTCGTATTTTTTCCTCAATTATCTGGCTGATATCTTCCATTGGTCTTATCCCTTCCGTATCTGTACAGCTCACAATACTCCTGTGGCAGGCAATTACAGATTAAGTCTTTCAACTTAGGACAGGTACATACGAAGTGAAGTGGAAAGTGAACTGAGGCCTTCTGAGACGTCTTTTTAATGTTATCTTTCTAATCTCCCTCCTTCCAGAGGCCAATGCCATTTGCAGTGACAGGCTCTCCAAAAGATTCCTAGGAGTGGGGAGCTGGCAGATTACAGGAGGAAGGTGGCTTTCTCTGACAGTGTTTGAAGAGACAGGGATATGTGACTGCAAAAGTTATTATATGGTAACAGAGGTAACATCTTTAAAACTAGCTGGTACAGTTAACCTACATAGTAATGTACAAAGGGAATTATTTTGCCATATCAGCCTTACCTCTCTTACGTCCTTGTGCCCTTCTGCAAAAAAAAGCACTAATACTGGTAATTTTTTAATGCTCTTATAAAAAGATAAACTGCAACACTTTGATCTTGCTTTTACAAGTTTTACAGTGTTGTGTCACTGTGAATGTCACTGAAATTACCGCCCATTTGCTCCACTCTGAGTGAGATCAGAATCAAACCTTTAAGAAACCAGTTCTGTCCTCATCAGAGTAAATGCATGTATTCTGCTGAATTCAGTACCAGCAGGATGCCTTCTGAATGCAGATGGAGTGTTAGCATAGACTCATGGCATATGCATCTCATGGCACAGATTTTGTTCAGTTGTCCTAATGTGGCTCAGAAGTGCCTTTGTAAAGTTAATAGAGTGGACGGTGACAAAAAGGTGAAGTAAAATCAGACCCAGTCTACCTTTGACTTGCCAATAAACCTCATGCTCCTACTTTTCAACATAACGGTCCCCAAATCTATGGATTGTCCTTATTGCTCTGCTACTTGTTTTCCTTGTCATGAAGTTATAGAAATTACTCTTTCCCTTTCACTCAGATGTGAAAACATTTTTACATTTAACTTTTATTAAAATACCAGTTCCTTTTGTTTTGCTTCTCATACAGATGGCTGCATTGAACTAAAAAAAAAAAAATCTGCATGTAATCTGCTATCTTATTGAAAAGAATTCCTTACAGCTACCCATTCCAAGTATAAAAATGAGATGATGATGAAAAATTGATACTGGTTCATAAAAGAGAGTGCGAGGTTCACTTCTTAAGCAAAAAGTTCTACTGATGTGTATTAGGACTTGGAATGATATTACTTCATGGAAGATAAATCTCTAGAGAAGTCTGTATCAAAGACACAGCCAATCTTATTGCCACTTTGCTTTTTAATAAATTTACTGTGAGTTTATATTCCTGAAGACAACACAAGATCAGCTTAGAGCACCAAATAGCCCAAACCTTGCAGTGATGATCCAGCTGTACCCATCCACCGTATCCGTATCTCTGTGAAAGAATAAAGAAAAAGCCAGTTCCAGTTAGCACTCTGCAATAGTAACAAAAACCTCAGTTCCAACAATCCAGCAGTACATTTTTCAGGAGAAACACACATATGCTCAGCTTTGAGCCAACAAGTAACCCCATTGCCTTCAGAAGAAGTGCTGAAATTTAACTGGACTGGACTAATGGTGTTTGTAGATCCAAACATTTAGCTCAGTTCAACATGTTTAAGTAAGTTCTACAATTGATTTCAAAGTGCTTAAAGTTCCTTACTATATTGAAGATCTAACTGGAAAGATTTTAACACAGAAAAAATTAAATCAAGTATTTGGCAATATGAAATTTGAGCTGACAATTTTACAATCTGTGATTAGTTAATCATTAGCACAAAGATGTATTGATTCTACTTTTCAGCTTCCATGATTCAGCAGCAGGACTGAAGGTCAGCCACTTGTCTATTAATATTTAAACAGCCGAGAGAGGCTAAAAAGGAGAAGCTTAGATGTTCATTGATTCTTCCAGAGAAATTCAAAATTGTTTACGCAAAAACCTAAAAAAGATGCTGATTTCCTTTTATTTTCATAAATTATCAGATTAGAAATGAATGAAATCTTGAAATATCATAATAGACTGAAAACAATGCTCAGAATTCCCATTTTTCTGTAAAGAAACATTTCAAAGGAAATTGGGTAAAAGCAGGCATTTCTTTCACTCAAGTGTAAACAATCTGAATAGAGTCCTGAATTTCCTGTGATAGCAAAACATTACTTAATGCTGCTGTCAGCTTTCCTAAAGTAGGTGTGCAGAGCCAAGCCTCCTGACTTCAGCCAATCAGAGATGCTAATGACTGAGGCTATGTATGTCTTATTTAGCTATGTTTAGCTATGTGTATTTTATTTAAATTTATAAATTTATGGGTTTCGATATATATAATATTTAAATTCAGGGAAAATTTTTTGAGTGACACCTAATAAGAACTCAAGTTTTCACTGGCTCCATGCTAATTGCAATCATAAGCTGTGCAGAAAATAAGTACCTTAAAGGTGCTCAAGGAGCATTTCAGCAATAGAGAAACTCACTGATCTGTTTTTGAACTTATTTTCTTCTTTCTTCCCCTCAGTTATTAGGTGGATGTATTGACAGTCCTTATTTCATGTATTTCTATGATTTTTTTTTATATTTATTATGAGTTCCTAAGCTCTTAAATAAGTATATTGACAGTAGAAGTTTCTAGTCATAGGTTCAAGGTTCGTTATTGATAAGGCTGGGAAAAATACAAGAGAAGTTTAGCCCTATGTGTGCATGTTAGGATTGCCTCATTGGTTTTCCACACATGAGATGTAGAGAACTATGTTAATGGCTTGAATTTTCAGAGAACTCCAGGGAATTTTGAGAGTTGTTTTCCATTCTGGGCCCACTAATAAACCATTGAATCACTCAATCTTTAGAATAGAGGAAACAAAAACTAGCAGGTGGAAATTAACTTTCAAAAATTTGGTATTTGCTCTTTGATATCAGTGTTTAAATAAATGCAACACTAGCCTGCAGGGTCTAACAGCAGGGAATTCAGCCTGGTTTTATGTCCATAAACATTGGATTCTCAGGTGATTTTATCTCAGCCCTTATAAAGTATATACAGACAAAATCTTGTAAAATCATGTAAAATCAGAATGAAGGAATTCTGTAAGTGTTTTTATAAGGATATTGCACAAACAAGGACAACAAAATCTGAAATAAGCAAGAGTAATCTGTCTTTGTAGTCTGGATATTTAAACTGCTATCCACTTAAAATAGATACAATTGTTCTAAAAGATTTGTCGTCTCACCTACATGTTTCAGTGTATATGTGTTTTTCATTGAGGAGCTCATAATTATGAATAGGAAGCTCAAGTAGATGTTTAAAAAGAACTTCCTAGGTAACTGAGGAAACAAACATTCCTTTCCAGGAGATTTTGTGCATAACAATGTTATTTTTCGCTGCTAATGAAGAAATAGCCCTATATCTGTTCTTAATGCCAGGTTTTCTCATGACTTTTTATTAATATGCTGTTTACATTTTCCAGCTGCTCTCTGGCTAATACTGAACTGATATTGATTGTCCTGCTTAAAATCAGAGAAACACAGAACTGATACACATGAAACACTTACCTGAGAATTTGCTATCATCAACCTTAAAATAATTAAGTGAAAGAAATGTACAGTGTAAAACAAAGTTTACGTTAGCATGTCAGATGCCTAAGAGCATGGCTGAAATAACGCCATTCTTTTGTTGTCAAAGACAGGCACAATGAAATCAAGTGGTTCCATGCTCCTGTCAGACACAGGGAATGTTCATTCAAACTACAACCAACACAGAATTACCATAAGGAAGGAAGCAACAGTGCAGTTCTCTTTTCTACTCGGATTTTTATCATAAATCGAAACATTGAAGAGTTACAGAAAATAGCTCTCCTGGAAATCTGAACACAATTTTTAATTGCAAACAATTTTTACATATGGGTGTATAAACAACATATAAATATAGTTTTGTGTGATCTTTTTCAGTATCCTTTGTAGCACTGGAGATGTGATCCCTTATGAGTCAAAAGTGACCAGTATCTCTGTACTCAATTGTGATTTTAATTATTTAGGCAATAACTCTAAAACCTAATTCAGAATGACATGACTACACGGATTTCGATAATCTGAAATAAGAAAAAGATTAGATTTATAACATGAAAACCTAAATGACACTTTCCATTCTCAAATATTTTTCACAAAATGATGAAAATTTTTACTGACAAGAATAAATTTATGTCATTAAGTCATAATAATACCACGCAAAGATTCAAAGTTAAGACAAGTTGACTTACAGCTTCAGTGTTCTGACAACTGAGATTTTGTATTTTTAATATAACATGCTACTTCTTTCCAGTAACTAAAAACCCAACAGATATTAATAAAATGATCATCATCATCAATTAACCACACTTAGAGTGACCCCACTCCTACTGAAGTTAATGACTTTCATGCCTATGGGTATTAGATCTGAATAAATTTTGTCTCAGGTAACATTAATCTTGTCTAATATTTGCTTATTTCACTCATTTAAAACAAAAGTGAATACCATTTGGGAACCTGACAGCTCTGGTTTTATCAAGAAAGTGGAATTTACACCTCATCATTTGACAATTTTAGGTCTCACAGAAAAACAAGCAAAAATATAAGAATTGCTTCAGACTACATAAAGAGTGGGGAACAGAGCCCAGTTTTCCACCTCTTTCTTACTGGGACTCCTGCTTTGCAAAGTAATGCAATATAAATATCTTAAAGATTAAAAAAAAATCAAATCAGTAGAGATACTTATAACAGTAGAGATACTTATAACAGAATCCTTCATTCATTGTTCTTCCAGAAATTACAGTGGTAGGAAGGGTTGCTGATAACATAAGGCACTGAATATCTAAACTCTTATTACCTTTTTTAGGTCAGGCCATTCCTTAGGTAGAATGTGGCTATGAATATCAATTTTCATTTTTGAAGTATCAAAGGAGAAATACTCTTTCAATGAAAATGTTTTCTGTGTAATTGCTACTGTCCTTCCAGTCCCTGGTTTAGCAGGTTATTAACTTTGGCTGCTGTTCAGATCCACCTGCTGTCTGATCAGGAGAGCTTGGTACAGTGGCCAACCAGGGAGTCGAAATCCCAGAGGAGTGGCTCTCTGGAAGAACAAAGGCTTCTAGCAGAAAATCCCTGTTAATGCATAAACTACAACTGACCGAAGGCAAAGGGAAAATGTATGTTCATTTTGGCACTATGAAGGGATTTATTTTACACAGAATCTAAAATGCAAGCTTGTTTACACTTGAAAATCATTCAATTGAATTAGAATAAATGTATTAAACATGATGACTTGAATTTCTTCCTTTCTCCCTTTTAGATTCTGAAATAACTTGTAGAGCGCATATAATATACCCTTGGTAGACAGTCATACCTCCTTATCTACTCTCTTTTCCTTCCCTTGCATTTTCTTTAAAGTTACATACAAAAAGTCACAGAAATACTGAATTGTAGCGAAATCTGTGCTCTGCACTTTATTCCCCCCTTCTGATTATTGGTTCATTTAGGATATTTACACATGCTATTGCAAACTGGTTCTTATAGCCTCTCAAGCTGGCTTAAAATCTGGCAGGAGAACGGCTCAGATGACCTTAGTAATTAACGCTAGCAGAGTTCACCAGCTAACACGGCAAACAGTTCCTGCATCCTGAGTTAAGCTGAGCTGAAGCGAGCTCCGATTTTCTGTGAAATTACATCTCCTGTTCTGCCCTTTATTCAGTTTAGTATTATACTTCATAGATTCATAGATTCATAGATTTCTAGGTTGGAAAAGACCTCAGAGATCATCAAGTCCAACCGTCCCTAATCCTCATTAAACCATATCCCTAAGTAGATCATCCACCCTATTCTTAAACACATCCAGGGATGGGGACTCAACCACCTCCCTGGGCAGCCTTCTTTCCTCAAGGTACCCTTGGCCTCTTATTTGTGCTGTATTTTTCTCTAATTTATTTCCTCTATAGTATGCTACTCACATGGTGTCTTCTTGCAAAAGCTGGTTAATCATTTCTTGATTAATTGGTTTCTAGTGAAAAATGCTGGGTTTTTTCCAAAACTAAACGCTGTTGCGAATCTTGCAATTTGAAATTGAGCAACTCGGGGAAAAAAGTGGCCCATTTTGTTTCATCCTTTTTCTGAATTTGTGATTTTATTTGGACTTGATAAAAAAAAAAAAAAGGACTCTCTATTTCCCTCCTTGTTTGCTCATTAAGCAAGTCTGCTTTTGGTCAGTTAACCTTCTAAGAGTTATTCTTCAAGTCAACTCCTTGTGACAGGGATGGTTTTTTGCTTGATGGTGTGTTTCTCTGCAATGGGAGATCACTGAAGACTGAACGTTCAAAAGAAATAGGAAGCAGCAGCTTTGGAAGAGTATTCTGTAAATAAACCAGGACAGCCAATAATTCACTTTAACAGATCAAAACCATGGGATTGAAAATAGCAGTTATTTCCATCTCAAAATCAAAACCAATCTCTCCATGGCCAGGCTGCCAGGTTAAACAGCAAATTTGCTGCTTTGCTCCCAAACGTGACAGCAACGTTATATGATCTAACACTATAGTGTAGCCTGTTGGCAAGCAATGTTCCTGCGTACACAACAGCAGAGATAAGAAAGAAGTATTGATTCAGCTGTGGGAATGCTGCGTCATGAATCCTACAAATTCATAGGCATGAGGCAAAGAGTTAAGGTGAGTCTTTCAATAAAGAGATGTCTGGAAGACAATTCCCAATTTAAGCACAGAAAGCAGAGGTACTAGTGGAGGAGAAGGGCAGGAAGAGATTTGTGTATCTGAATACTCTGACACCTAGTTTCTTCCCTTAAGTCACCATAGCTGCAGGCTACCACGCAGAGATCTGCAGCATTTCTTCAACACTGTGCTTTACTTTTCTCAGCTCTAAAAAAAGATGTAGTTGTTAGTCGCTGCTTCCAAGACACAGCTTAGCTTGCAAACAGTGCAGCACTCCCACACCGCATTTCGTATAACAAAACACATCATTTGGAAACCACACCAGTCTAAGGCAAAATCTGTATCCATTTCCCTCAATTGAAGGGACACTAAAGACATCTGTCTATATCCAGCACAATCCATTGGATCATCAGCAGAAAGATCATCAGTGGCTATGAACAAAAAAGTATCTTCAGGTACCCAGGCACGCTACCTACTTCGAGTGCATGGGTTTGAAAAACAGGACACCTTCACTGATGTTTGGGACAATCTGCCAGGTAACAGTGACTTCTGCCTCTCAGTCTCTGTGCTGAGTTTGTGTCCTCGTGCAATATGATGGTTTTTAGCATGACCCTTGCTATCTGTCTCCACCTGGTTGTAAATTTCTAGAGCACGACACAGAGTTGCAGGAATTGCCAGCAGTAGCCAGGAAAACGTGTACAATGTCAGATGGCCCTACACAGGCAGAGCTGAGCTGAAATTCACTGTGCTGTCAAGCCAGAGGTCATGACCAGATGGGAACTCTCACATGCACAATGTCTGGGGCAATAGAAACTTATATTGAGAGCAGCCCTGAGGAGAAGGACTTGGGAGTGCTGGTGGATGAGAAGCTCAGCATGAGCCGACAATGTGCGCTGGCAGCCCAGAAAGCCAACCGTATCCTGGGCTGCATCAAAATGAGCGTGGCCAGCAGGTCAAGGGAGGTGATTCTGCCCCTCTACTCTGCTCTTGTGAGACACCACCTGGAATACTGTGTTCAGCTCTGGAGTCCCCAACACAAGAAGGACATGGAGCTGTTGGAGCGAGTCCAGAGGAGGGCCATGAAGATGATCTGAGGGCTGGAGCACCTCTGCTATGAAGACAGGCTGAGAGAGTTGGGGCTGTTCAGCCTGGAGAAGAGAAGGCTCCAGGGTGATCTTATAGCAGCCTTTCAGTACCTTA